ATTTTACACTTGGCGCCCCATATAAAAATTCATCTCTAAAGTAAACAAAATGCTATCAGTAAAGAATTAGCCCACATTTGGATAGTGAATTTAGTAGATTTGCATTCATATGTTTTATGTTTGCAATTTACTGAAAAATACAGCTATATTCAGCGACATGTTAACATGTATTCTTATCACAAATCACTTCTATGTGACTCCATGTGTATACACTGCACATTGCACGCTGCATCGCTCTCAAGAGACAGACAGCAAATGACACCAGACAACATACCACTCTAAACAAATTGCCCTTTGGCTGACCTCAGGAGACAGAACATCTAAACAACCAGAGAGATGTGTATATTACACCCAGAGACACACATTCTCCTTCAGCCTAATGACCAGAAAGTGATAAATATGAGTGTGACATGGTTATATACAAGCTTTTATGCATAAACCGATGAGGAAAGAATTAGCTGGGATATCTGAAAAGTGATAGTATCCAACTAAATCCTTATGTTCCCTGAAGGTGTGAGGTTTTGTGTTAAAAAACTACTAACTAGTTATAAAAAACTATTATGAAAGGTGTCATGAAGGGTTTTGATAACACATAGACATTTGGTGAACAATGCTCGAAAACGCGCCGTAGCTCTGAGGTGAGTTGGCACGGTTCAACCAGCGCATCGTGCAGAGCCAAAAGTCTGAGCGATGAGCTGCATGAAGCGCCAGGGCTTGTCTCAGCGGAGGCAAGCAGGGCCTCATCTGTGACTGAGTGGGTGCTAGAACGCCAAGCAGAAAAGTACCGGGTCGCACCAGAGGTTAACAAAATCGAGTCTGGGAATTTACGAGCGTCCGTGCTTCACGAGCGATGTCGCCAGCAGCAAGGGGGAGAGTATAAAAGACGAGGGTGGATGAGAGGATTATGGAGTGTGTGAGTGTATGTGAGTGTGTGAGTGTGCCTGGTGCATGTGTTTGTTTGTATTTGCCAGTGAGATTTTCGCCTACTTTGCAAGGAATACATTGTGACAGACTGATTAGTGATCTTTACTGTGAGTAAGTGTTCATTTCACACACTGTTGGGCTCAATGCCTTCCGTAAACTGACTGGACCTCAGACGACGTGCACGCTGGCTTCAGATGAGCCTAGAGATTGCAATAAGTGTCTGTTAAGTTGTGATAAACTATTATTAACTACAGCTACATTTCTATCCCTCGAGAAAAAAGTTGATCAGACTACGACTGACCATAAGAACAGTTTATACAAGTTCAGCCTAAACTAATAAGGTATCTTTTTATACCAAAATACACAAGTTTTTCACCCAATGTTGATGCAAAGACAGGATCAGTATAGTCGCCACAGTAAGGCGCAGAGCTCGTTAGTGACATTTCATAAAGAAAATTATCTTGTGGCCATATGATAAATAATGCATGGCCACGGGATAAATAACATCATGACAAACTTCAGTCACTTACATAAGGCAGGAAGTAATTCTTAGCATTATATGTTGCAGCTATAAAACAGAGGTGATAACTGGAGTTGTATTTGTCCAAAAATCTTCATTTTATATTTTTGAAGCTCAACACTCAAAAGAGGCCCCTATCTCATAAAAAAAAGTCGGAGTTCAGGAACACAGTAGAAATCTGTTTTCTGACATACGCCTAGGGCGTTCATTGTCAGCTCATAATTAGTCCACTGTGAAAGATGTACCGTTCATATTAACATACACCTAATAAAAATAATAAGTGTGGGGTAGGCTTCCTATGAACAGTTCAAAACAAAAACAATGTCTCTGTCATGCTGTAAAATCATCTCATAGCCACACGTTAGTATTACTTGGCCACAATAATTTTTAAAAATTATTTTTATCCAATGTCACTGGACAGGCATTGTAGTAAAGCAATGTCAGCAAACACAAAAATAGACAAACCTCAGGTAATTTTTGGGTACATTTACAGTAGCCCTGTTTAGTTCATTTTAACCGGTTTCCTAAAAAGTCTGGCTCATTTGGAAAGTTGTGAATGTGTCCACCTACAAACCTAGGTCTCGGCTCTATTAAAGGGAACTGTGCAGTTCAAATGCATATGTGAATGCCAAAGGGACAGACCACTACAAAAGCAGGAAACATATTAAAGCGCAAGGTATTCTGAGTAATAATGGTTATAAAGTTTCTCATACACCTTCCTCGGTGTCTGTGTGCTAATGTGCTCCTAGTCAGTGCACGCCACCTCAGACGAAAAACAACATTTTTCATGGTCATCTTCTGCTCATGCTGAGCTCATTGTTGAAGAGTGTTTCTTTGGCACATTTTACAAAAATTAAAAAAGCGATCCAACAACTGCTAAAATCTGTCACTCTGAAGAAGTTGCGCTCAGTGGCTTCTTCTGAGGATTTTGTGTTGTTTCCTTCAATGGTTCTTGGYGCAATGCTACCACAGGTGAGGGGGTAAAACATGATGCTCAAAGGGTTTGGATTGTTTGACAGAGTGTGAAAACAAACCGCACCAGCTGAAAATGTAAACGTTGCAATTTTAGTCCCCAATCAAACCAAGTTTACCAGACTATCCGGTGTGAAAACACCCTTACACAATTTCCTGATGCATCTCAGTAATCTAGGTAGAAAAAATAATAAGTAGGTCCTCTGGACAGAGGACCATCAGCTTAACAAGAGATCATTAGTGCCCTGATCATCAACCTATTGTTCATAGATGATCATGTTAACCACCACCCGACTATCATCGGGACYGTGATTATCACGTTTTTCACAGGGGGCCGAGTCACACTTGCAATAACAGTATTGTAAGAGGGGGACAATTGGACACAGAGGCCTCCACCTCTGTTTAATGATGGACAGTTTTTCTTCACAAAAATGGCTTCCATTACTCCTCTCTCAAACCAACGGTCCTCTCTATCAAGGATGAGAACATCTTCATCCCTGAAAGAGCGACCGCTAGCCTGTAGATTAGTGTAAACGACAGAAATCTGGACTGATGATGTAACTCTTCTGTGTTGGCCCATTTTGAACAGTGGCTGCTTTGTTTCCCCGATGTATAACTAGTCACAGTCCTGCTGGCACTTAACAGCATACACAACATTACTCCGTTTGTGTCGGGATACTGCATCTTACAGAACCCTTACAGAATATTGAGCTAAAATGTGGTGTGGTGGCTGGCAAGTGGTTAACTTAAAGAGGAAAAAAAAATCACCACCACTGCTAATTATTAATGCAAAACATAAAAAATGATTCTAAATCAGTCAGTTTAACAGATATTGAAGTCAAATTTGGTGTTCTAGTAGCTGAGCATTGTCTACAACACATATTTGTGAACTAGACATTGTGCAACATATTTACCTGAATTCTTGCATTAACTGTGGAAGTCAATCCTGTTAGAGAGAGTGACTGACTGACTGACTGACTCTCTCTCTCTCTCTCACACTGTACAGATAAGATGCCTTTCCTGTGTCTTAAGTTCCTGTCGATAAGTGGAATAGAGCCTCTCAATTTCAGGAGACAACCTAGTGATAGGACACTTCATCACACCGATTTGTGGAAGTTTCTCAGCTCCTCCCCCCCACTGATAGCTCCGGTTTGTCTGGAAGAAGTTATGCTCTGTGATAGTTTGGCAGAATCATAGATTTGTCTCCTAGAAGCAGTTGGAGCTTGTTCAATGTATCGAGTTTTAGCAGCATGTGGCTTCAATTTGAACCCTCACAAAACTGCTTTCATTTTGCTTGAAAAATGTCAAACTGCAAATGCTATTATTTTATGTGTTATCAGAGAAGCAACAGACGATAAAATTTGTTGGTTTTCAGCCAAAGTAAATGGTTTAGCGTGGTTCACATTCTGGTTTCCTGAATGGCCTCTTGCTGGCATCCTTTTGTTGTGTCCACATGCAAACAAGTTCTTTGTTTTCTCTTATTACAACAGAACATTAAATTCCCTTATCCGTATTTTCGCAAAGCCACCAATGAGCTTTTAACACAGTAGGCATCGGTCCATCTGACCTACTGTAGTGCTGATGGTTGATCTAATTCAAGCAATGCTTTGAGTTTTCAGAGTTGAGGGGGAGAGTCTATGGCCTATGGCTCCACCCTGGACACCATTCATCTCTCCCCCTACATGTCATCTACTGCCCTTCAGCTGAATGCCACTCCCGTTCAGGTCCATTCAGCGAGCATATTTGCTACAAGACAGCACTGTCTGTGTACCATTCATCATGGCTAAGGCAGATACATTGTAATCAGCAGCCTCTCACACTGGCATAAATCCATGGTCAACAGTCAGTCTTGACTATAGGTCAAGTGAGTTATACACAGGTGCATGAACAAACTTACTTTTGGTCCTTCTCCCTTACATACATATACAGTGATATGCTCAAACACACATATGCCATGCAATTACCCAGGGCAAACCCTGGAAACATGTTACTGTACTCACAAGGGCTGTAATGGGAGTCTTGTTTAAAGTAGAGAGGAATCTGGATAAAGTCTAGCGGGGGTCACTTTCTGAGGAAATGCAGAGCCTGGGGGAGTATGCGCTTCGAGTTTTCCTTCTCCCCGTTCCTCTTAATGTAGGAGGAGAAGGCAGTGGTACACATATACTCTTGTTCTCACACACAGAGCACATGCATATGTTAAGACCGGGGGGGGTGAAGTGTTAAGTGGGTTGACTGTACTTGACCGTAATCTCTGAAATAGAATTGAGGAGATGTAGTGTGTGTGTGTGTGTCTTGGTGGCTTACACATCTGCCCAACCATTGGAAATACTGCTGCATTACAATATTCCAGAGGGGACATTTTACACGAGTCAATTGTATTCTCAAGGCCACAGGACCATTAAATGCTCCCTCAACCATTCTGGCATAAGACAAACGACATATTTAGTCAATAAAGGGGTCAACTCCAACACTATAAATTCATATAAATTTGATACAGTTCACTAACAAAAACATGTTTAGGTATTGAAAGAGAAATCTAGATTTGGTGCCTTTCTCAAATAGTTAAGTATTGTCACTTCCATCATGACAAAAAGACAAGTACCGTGACAGGACTATTAAAAATGTGTCAAAGTCACATCAGGGAGGAAGACTGATCCTATTGATTTTGGGCCTGTCTCATTTTTGATAAATACACCTGACAGCTGCTTGTCTTATCCACAGCCGTCACAGTCTCCCTGTTGTACATCATCTGACTTCAACAATATTGACTTCTGTTGAGGAGATTAGTTGTCAAGCTTTTATTTTGTTAAAGGATCAGGGTTCTTCATGTTCTTACCTAAATATAACTTTACTCCATTGCAGGTTTGAAATTGCTGGTGCAGGTGGTATTTCATTTATGAGCCCTCAAGACCCAGAATGCCTTGGCTTGACCACCAGGCTTTGGAGGGATTATCTGATGAATTTGTGTTTTACAGCAGCTGTTAGTGAGAAGTCACCAGGGGTCTAAAAGTGGATGCGGATGTCCTCCACAAATTGGGCCATTTGGTCACTTTCATTTTTCACTTGTTTGAAAACTTACTTTAATGCTTTTTAATTTTTTATATAATGCTTGTCTGTTTTATTCCAATAGTTATATTTAGAATGTTTTGATAGTAAAGGAGTAGAAGAGAAGAATGTGACACCAGAGAAGCGCTGTGTTATAGAGGTTGTATCAAACTACAGCCAAAATTAAATGTCCTTAGCCCTGTCTCTGAGGGCATCAAATTAATCTCATGCATGTCTTCATTAATAAGAATCTCCTCCAAGACAAAATATGCAGCACCTCTTTGGTCACTGGAGATTTTGATTTACAAGGCATGGGGAGCCACGGTTGATGAACTGATAATGCCTACATGGATGCTTGGATTGCCTTTCCCATTCACAAGAAGCCAGAAGGCCATCACTAAATGGGACTGGACTGAAAATGTCATCTGGGTGCACAACCTTTTACGCCCTGGAGCCCTTCTCAGAACTGTAAACTCTATCTTGCACAGCTCTGACCACTTCCATCGATGGCTTATGGCTGCTACCTAAAGTAGCAGGGCTCATCCTTTCAGAGCAGGACAGCAACATGTGGGAA